TGTAAAATGAAAGAAATGACTATTAAAGAGTAATTTTGATGAAGAATGATATCAAATTGATAAGTCATTCTGAGATCAATTATCAGGTGCTAATCAATTATCACCAACCAGTGCTAATTAATTATCACCTACTAAATCATGAAATTTCACAGCTTTTATAACGATTTTGTTACATAGAAAATATTTGCAAACTCTTTGTCAACTGTAATCGTTAATATATTCGAAATCTATCTAATTGATAAAATTAACTGTAAAATTTATTTAGAAAATAAAAAATATTGCTATTTTAATTAGTTAATTATCATCTCATCAATTAATTAAACAATTATAACAGCTTTTTTATTCATAACTACACACTTAGTTAAACATTCATTTTCTTCGACACAATGACATTAATTAGTCTTAAGCATAAGTTCATTATTTCCTTCAATCCATAACTGCGAATATTAAATTCTTTCCATTCCCATAATCGAGAATTTCAAATATCATTTCAATTTTTTTATTTCTAAATTTGGTAGCTTAAGATATTCTGATTTCTTTGATTTCTGCATTTGATAATTTAAAATAATATTTTAATTTTTTCGACTTCTACATTCAAAAATTCAGCATATTTTAATTTCTGGAACAATTAAATGAATGAATGAATGATTGAATTCTTTATAGCATTCGCATGCATACAAAGGCATAAAATCATTTCCTGATTAATTTTGATACTGAAAAATGCTTCATTTTAAAATTTCCACTTACCAATACAACACCAATATCCGAGTATGAACCTTTGATGAATGATATTACGGATACTTTCATCAAATTCGTCTCCAATACGATATTTTACTCTTTATCATTTATAATCGAGCTGCCACCGAAATCATTCAAAATCATATAACTATGTATTTACTAAATTCAACTTTCTGCAACACATTAATTTAATTGAAAAATTTATCGTTGTATTTTTGACTTATAAAATTTTTATGATAACGTTTGATCTTTTCCTCATTTTATCATTTATTTATTTGCTTATTATCCATACATATCTTAATTATTCATTATCTTATTTTTATGCTAAATTATTGATTTTATTTAATTTCTCATTTCTTTAAAATATTTCTACTTAGTTATGCAAAAAATTTTTCACATTTTTCTGCATTAGAACTCATTAAAATCACTTCTGATAATGATTAATTATCACAACGACGCTAATAGTAGCAATACAGGTGTGATATTTCTAATTAGATCAAGAAATTATTATTAGATCAATTTGGAATTGTTTTTTTTTATGATCGATTCTAGTATCTTAAGTAATTTGTTCACTCATTTTTACATTTATTATGTTGCAAATCAATTTTTGATTTTGAAATCTATTTTCAAGCCTCAAATTAACTGCTGCAAATTTTATTATATTTAGATTATTAATTATTCAAAGCGATTAATAGCATTTCAGTTGATCAATGTTGCTGTTTGTTGGAATAATACTGGTTAATTGGATTCAGGGCACCTGTATCGAATTAACACCAGTGCACTTTGACCTTTTGTCTTTACCGCAAACCGCGGCACGACAAACGCAATCTTCAATTGAAGACGGTCTACTGTAACTGATTAATTTTTGAAAATTATAACAAAATAAACTGAATTGAACAAAAAAATTTTAAGTATTTTCACAAACATTAAAACCTTTCCAAATTCATCAAATGAAATATTTACCTTAAAAAGGTAAACAAGTTATTAAACTAGTAATAACAATAACTGTCCAATAATTTATTTACACATTGAATATTTTGAAGTAGTTGTTTGATATTCTACTATGTAAAATAGAGTTATGGCCCTATATGATTATAAGACTATAAAACGAATGACCCAAGCCATTTGTTTTAAAGTTTTAAAGGTCATGATCAGCCAGAAAATAAATTTCTACCAATCCGATATAATCCTAATATTGTGCAATAAAATTCCATCAACAATTCATTCTATACCTAAAAATTTCATAATTATACTTCAATTTACTGTTTCGTATTTGCATTTTTTTAACGGTTGGATTCTAAACTTGAATAATTAATATTACTTAAACAATTAATAACAAAAGTTCGAATAATAATTGACAGCTAAAAAGAAGCTGATATTTGATAAAATACATTAATTCTTATCTCTTTTGTAAAAGTCAAAAAATTCAGTATTATGTTAAACTAATTAAGCGTTTTTCGTTTCCTTTTTCAGTGAAAAATATCAGTGATAGCAGTATTCAGCTCAATGATACTGATAAAAAAATAATAATATGGGAATGTGGTAATGATCATTTCACAAAGCTTGTCAGTGAAACTACGGTTCGACAAAATTGCCCACAACTGAAAAGTTTATGATTTTTATTGAAATTGGACAATAGTTTAAATTAAAAAGCAAACATTTCATCTTTTAACAAATTTTGAAATTCAATTTATATTTTTGCTAATTTTTAACAATTTCTTTTTTAGGCTATTCTATGAAAAATAAACGAAACATTTAATTAATTTAAATGATATGTGATCAGAATGAGAAAATAAAATTCAATTTGCAAATTTGAAAATGTCTATCAAATATCATTAAATATATTAATGTATAAACAATTCTTAAGTTTGATCAATCTTCAGAACCAATTAATCAATGTTGTATTAATCATGATGATTGCTATAGTAAGCAATTAGGAAGGAAATATTGTGATGATGTATTTTGTGAATGTCTTCAGGTAAGCACTTTTGTCTCATTTCCTATTTTTTGATATACTGAATTTAATAGAAAATCAAATGAAGCAGATGCTATTAATGAGATGCAATAATTTTCATTGAAGGTTGCTACTAAGCCGAGTTTCATTTGCAGTAACCAAGAAGGACAATCATTTTGTGCACTTGTTCGGCTTTTTGGTGAATTACCTTATATTAGTGCTGCAAGGTTAAAATTTAATTTGTTTAATTAATTTTTCCTTTCTTTTGTTTTAAAAAAACATAAACATTGATTTTTTCATCAAAATTTTTATTAGATAGGTAAGTAAAAAAGTGTTATTAATATAAAGCAATTTTCAAAAATTTTTTCATTAAATAAAATTTCTCAAAAATTTCCCAACGAAATAACAAATGCAATCTTTAAGAATCTTAATCAAATTAAATGACTCATCAATATTTTCAAAAATATTTTAAATTTGTAAATTTAGAGAAGAAGCAATCAAAATTACCGAAATTTCATACAAAAACATGACATGGTGAGTGGATAAAAGATGACACGATGAAATTTGTCGAGTGAGCAATTTTTAAATAAATAATTCTCGGGTATGCAACTATTTCAGTGAGTAATTCTCGAGTATGCAACTATTTCAGTGAACAATTCTCGAGTGTATTAATTTACCACATGTGGTAAATGCAGAAATTCTTCTAGTTTCTTTTTATGAAATATCAACTTCGTTAAATTGCATTTTGCAAAACATTTTGACTATTATTACTTTAACGAATTAGTGCTATTAATATAGCAATTTAAAATATAACGGAATTAATGCCTTTTTGAAAAGTTTAATGCAAGCAGAATACTGTTTGTATGCTATTTTGACAATTTAACCAAAAAATGTAAAACTTATTTACTCGAATAATTGAGGATATATATTAATTATTATTATTGTTATTATATATATGGAAATCTAAGTGATTTAAATAAAAAATTATTTTCAAATTATTAATTATCTTAATTGCTGCTTTATAATATTATTGCGATATTATCGTCAGATTATGTTTTTGTAATTATTACAATACAATTACATGAATAAATTATTACGACGTAATACAATTGCATTATAGTCAATTTTTCAAACTAATTCTTTCTCATTAAGTTTATTTCATTTTTACATAATTCTAATTTGAAAATAGTTATGAATTTCATTACTTAATTTAATTGATTTTTCTCTTCAATTGAAATTTTTTTACTTGGCTTAAATGATGACAATTTGATTAGGTCTAAGACAAAGCTATAAAAAGGTAATTTAAATAAGTGCAACTGACAAGTTGTATAAAACAAATTAGGAAGGAGGAAAAGGGAATTACAGAGAGAGAGAGAGAAATTAAAGAAAATAAAAGGTTAGGTTAATGAATAAATTTCATTCATCTTTTTAATTTCATGGATGAAAGATGTGTATATTTAACTATACTTTCAGATTAATACGATAAGGATATTAAATTACTGTTAGAATGTTTGAATTATGACAAGAGATTCAACGATCTATCGAATTGTCTTCTCTAATTGATTGATTTTCTTATTCTGATAAATTAAATTCTTGTTTGTAAAAATTATTATAAATTTGAAAATCGTTGCAAACTAATAAAATAATTAAAAATATTTTAAAATTTCTAAATTAAAATATTTTTTTGACAAAAGTCTTGTGATATATAGTGAATGGAGGAGTTGTTTGTTAAACATTGAGCATAGTCAATTCATATTCTTCGTATATATGTGTTGAAAATAATTAAAACCTGAATACATCAACACAGCTTTATATTGAATACCAAATCATAAAGTTTACCACTTTGACATGCTTTTCATATAAAGTATATTACTTTGATATCTCTTTCAAAA